TTGTAAATTGGAATGCTCGATCTCTTAAAGATAATGAAGACGAGCTATTTAACTTTTTAAGAGTTCATAACGTGCATATTGCCGTTATAACTGAAACGTTCCTTAAACCTGCCCATAAGGTTAAGAAGGACGCAAACTACTTGATTTATAGAAATGATCGTCTTGATGGACCCTGTGGTGGCGTTGCCATCATTATTCATAGACGAATCAAGCATAAAATTCTTTCTTCATTTGAAACCAAAGTTTTTGAAACTTTGGGGGTTTCTGTTGAAACAAAATTTGGACAACTTACGTTTATAGCTGCCTATTTGCCATTCCAATGCGTAGGCCAGCAAAAGAATTTTCTCAAGGGTGACCTCCAGAAACTTACTCGTCATAGGTCTAAATTCTTCATTATTGGTGATTTTAATGCAAAACACCGCTCATGGAATAATGCTCAAAGCAATTCCAATGGTAATATTCTGTTTGATGATTGTTCTGCAGGTTATTACACTATTCAATATCCAAACAGCCCAACATGCTTTTCTTCTGCAAGAAATCCCTCCACTATTGATTTGGTCTTAACTGATTCATGTCAACTTTGTAGCCAATTGGTTACCCATGCTGACTTCGGTTCTGATCACCTTCCAGTAACTTTTGAAATATCCCAAGAAATAATTTGTAATCCCAACAGCTCTACTTTCAATTACCATAGAGCTGATTGGGAGCAGTATCGAACATTTATGGAATATAACTTCGATCCAAACATTCCTTTGCAAACCAAAGATGAAATTAATTATGCTCTTGAATCTCTGACTACTTCTATAGTTGAAGCAAGAGCTGCCTCAGTACCAAAATGCGAGGTTAAATTCGATTCAATTATAATAGACGATGATCTTCAGCACTTGATCCGTCTTAAAAATGTCCGTAGGAGACAATATCAAAGAACACGCGATCCTGCCATGAAAGTTATCTGGCGGGATTTGCAAAAACAAATTAAAAAGCGATTCTCTGCCCTGAGGAACAAAACTTTTGAAAATAATATTTCTAAATTAGACCCGAGTTCCAAACCCTTTTGGAAACTCACAAAAATTTTGAAAAAACCTCAAAAGCCTATTCCAGCGCTTAAAGAAGGTGGTAAAATTTTGATCACAAATTTGGAAAAAGCTCAGAAACTTGCTAAGCAATTCGAGAGTTCCCATAATTTCAGTTTGGGTCTTACTAGTCCTATTGAGAATCAGGTTGCTCGGGATTTTCTGAATATTTTCTCTCGGGAAAATATTTTTGATGATTCCTGGGGGACTGATTTGGACGAAGTAAGGTCTATAACTAAAAAATTTCAAAATATGAAAGCTCCAGGTGATGATGGAATTTTCTATATCCTCATCAAAAAACTCCCAGAGAGTACCTTGTCTTTCCTGGTAAAATTATTTAACAGATGTTTCCATTTGGCATACTTTCCTGATAAATGGAAAAATGCAAAAGTTGTTCCAATTTTGAAGCCGGATAAAAATCCAGCTGAAGCTTCTAGCTACCGTCCAATAAGTTTGCTTTCTTCAATAAGTAAACTTTTTGAAAAGATAATTTTGAATAGAATGATGCTTCACATCAATACGAACTCAATTTTTGCAGATGAGCAGTTTGGATTTCGCCATGGGCATTCAACTACTCATCAACTCTTAAGAGTTAACAATTTAATTCGTTCAAACAAATCTGAAGGCCACTCAACTGGAGTTGCTCTTCTAGACATAGAAAAAGCATTCGACAGTGTTTGGCATGAAGGTTTGATTGCTAAATTGAAAAAGTTTAATTTTCCACTTTATATTATGAAATTAGTTCAAAATTATTTAACTGACAGAACTCTTCAAGTAAATTATCAAAATTCCAAATCTAATCGACTACCTGTTAGGGCAGGAGTTCCTCAGGGTAGCATTCTTGGGCCTATATTGTATAACATTTTCACTTCGGACCTCCCTGATTTGCCTCAGGGTTGCCACAAATCTTTGTTCGCTGATGACACAGGCATTTCCGCTAAAGGAAGAAGTCTTCGTGTTATTTGCAGCAGACTTCAGAAAAGTTTAGATATTTTCTCTTCTTATTTACAAAAATGGAAGATTTCTCCCAACGCTTCAAAAACTCAACTTATAGTATTTCCACATAAGCCTAGAGCTTCGTTTTTGAAACCTAGTAGTAGTCACATAGTCACTATGAACGGAGTTCCAATTTCCTGGTCAAACCAAGTGAAATATCTTGGATTAATACTTGACCAAAAATTAACTTTTAAAGATCACATTGAGGGCATTCAAGCCAAATGTAACAAATATATAAAATGTTTGTATCCTCTTATAAACAGGAAATCCAAACTTTGCCTGACGAATAAACTTCTAATATTTAAACAAGTTTTTAGACCGGCCATGCTTTACGCTGTACCAATATGGTCTAGTTGCTGCACTACCAGGAAAAAAGCACTTCAAAGGATTCAGAACAAAATTCTGAAAATGATTTTGAAGTTGCCTCCCTGGTACAGTACAACCGAAGTACATAGAATTTCGAATTTTGAGACTTTAGCACAAATGTCCAACAAAATAATGAATAATTTCAGGCAAAAATCGTTGCAATCCTCAATTGCAACGATTAATTCCCTTTATACTTAGATAAGATTTAGTTTTAGTTTTTAGTTTTAAGATATCAATTGTTATACTGACATGCAGGTTAAAAAACCTGTTTAAAATACTGAATTGCCAAGACATGAACAATGTAAAAACACTTAGATATATATCATAACAATTAAGGCTGGTACGTTACTGCAGTAACTGGAGCACCTAGGTTAAAATGAAATGTAATTTATTTTGAATTTGGAACAAATAAAGAGTTAAAAAAAAAAAAAAAAAAAAAAAACGGATTTTTCGACAACCATTGCACAAAATTGGACACAACAAGCGCCCCATGAATGGTACTATGGTCTCATAGATAATAACTGAATATCTTTGAAATCGGTCAACTGGTTCCACAGATATGGCCGGAACAAGTTCCATAAGCCCTGTGAGGTCTAGAAATGATCAAAAACGGTACAAACCTATATTGTAACACAAAAAATCGCATGACAATAAAAAAAAATGATCAATAGGAGTCATGTTGTGTGCCCAGGACCTTATTTTCTACACCCTAACATGTTCCGGGTACCCCCGGGGAAGTGGTCAAAATCATATTAACTCGAAATCCATCATGCGACACGTCAAATCACATGAGAACTCTAAAAAATTGTCATTGGTGATTAAATTGAGTACGATGGACCACATTGACCACTCACGGACAAGTTCCAGATACAACCTGAGAGCAAAACAAAATTTATTTTATTGTGGAAATGTAAATTAATAAGGATGGTCACATCTCACCATAGATGGATGTACTCAGGTTTTTATTCTTGGGTAAAGCCACGAGAAATCAATGTCACTTAATACTTGATCTGGAAAAACATCATTTCAGATTCAAAGTCACTACGCAATAAAGGAGGGTGACGCTTTTACCCCGCCGGGCGTTCTTACTCCGTCTTCCCCTATGTACACCACAGCATATGTTGTTTTTTGTAACGAGTGTTCTGACGGGAAAACGCGAAACCGAAAACAGAATCCTACAAAGGACAAGCCTTACACGTCCAAGGGGACCATCCTTCCGGCGGGTTGAATCCGATGGGATTGGGATATTGTCTTCAATGTAGTCAATCTCCATAAACAACGGGCCACATCACGTGGAGTGTACTGAGCTCCTCGTGAACCTGGGTGAACTGATGATGATGAGTGGCTTGCACTTCGCAGCGACATCATGAACGGCCAACATAGAGGCGTAGGGCGAAGCCTCATCACGATCAGATGTCCCAATATATCTATGTTAACCTATTTTCATCTACAATTCGGACGTGAGTCAAATACTGAAGCTAGAGCCAAAACTGGCTCACCCATCCTACGCCAGTTTGCAATTCTTTGCAAGATTCAAAATGGCCGAATTTTGCTCAGATAAGAATGATTGACCATTTATGCAAAGAATCATGCAAATCGGAGTAGATACCCGTCAGCAAAGCAAATTCACCATTGCAGACGTTAACCACGTCAGCGTTAACGTCTGGAATGGTGAATTTCCATTGCAACCTGATCAACCCTGATCAAGAACTACTGTAACAGTCGATATCCAACTTATCCTTAGAATTTTCAATTCCAGAAATCCCTACAAAGTTGCATGCTCCACAAAGAACCTTGCTAGATTCCCACTGCAAAGACATGCGCCCGAAGGTAACTCTCCTCTGCTGCGAATCCACATTCCTTATTTTTTTCCATAAACTACATTTTGTTTGCACATTGTTTCCGATCATCCGGGCCATCCTGAGCACCGACCGATCCACGATGGTCGATATCCTCCCGAAACGATCTGCCCACTTTTCCCTCACATTCCACAATACTGTTGCTGTATGTACATAGATTGAATCACCTTCCCCGTTCCAGTATGTGATTATCCAAATTCCTATTACGATCGAAGTTCTGTGCCAACAACAGTTGAAATTTTCTCACGATTTTGGGCTACACAAGTGGGCAGCTACATACGACACGATCGACGAAGGCGACGCGACGCACACACGTTATTCTAAATATGTTATTCCACCCGAACAGGCAGGCAAGGCAAAGGAATGGATGATGAGATATTATTTTGAGAATGCATCGACATCCAACGGGCAACCAACGGGCAACCAACCACTAATCACCGACCGGCCAAGCCTGACCCCGACCGACTGATGATGACTACGGTTCGGATGATCGATTTAGTCAAAGTTGCTGATGGCGTTTTATGGTTCCCGTTTTGTTTTTCCGAGAATCACGTGCAGCAGCCTGAGCGTAGCATTTTAGATCGTTCAACATCGATAAGGATGCCCCCTCTTTGACGTAATTAAATCGTTATTGGTAGTATAATTGGTTGTCCATTTAAATTCTGTGAGATTCCAAATTGTTTCCCAAATCGATCGACACACTCACCTGAGGCTGAACGAAGGTGGGCGTGATGTTGCCTAAACTGCTCGAACTGCTGTTGAGATGATGCGACTGGGAAGACTGCTGGTGCTGCAGCTGTTGATGCTGCAGCGAGGGCGAATGGGAAGGTTGCTGGGAGTTTGGCCCCTGGGCTTGCAATTGCTGTGGGGGATGCTGCTGCTGCGGTACCGACAGGGGTGACTGGTTGCCCGGCTGTAGTTGTTGCTGCGGCTGCGGCTGCTGCTGCTGTTGCTGCTGGGGCTGATGTAGCGTCCGATCCGATCCGGAGCCCGAGATGAGATGCGACCCCTGCTGCAGGTGGCCGTTCGGATGCTGCTGCTGAAGGTTCTGCGTGTTGGGGCTGATGCTTCGAGACGAGTTTTGGGCGGGTGAACTTCCGTTACCTGGTCACGGGAGGGGAGAAACAGAAAGAAAGGAATGCATGAGTTATTTGCGTTCATTTTTGCTGGGCAGCTCATCACATTGGAATGTCGGTCGCTATGGGAGAGAACGGTCATTCATCGTTATTCGGCATCGCCGTCTTCTTCGCATGGGGTCGATCCGCAGAGATGCGTTTTCATTCATTCTTTCGATAAGGATCGCGCGTGCACGGAATGCGAGTGGGCAATTACGGTGGTATGCCGCGATGGAATGGGCAGAGAAGCGATTCAAGGGCAGCGTCCCGGGAAGAGGGTGATTACTGCCGTCAACGGGAGTAATATGATCACGATTCGCGGTAATGGTGATTGTGGTGCTTCTCGCCGCTGATCCTGGGAATGCCTCCGGGGGCTGTGCACTCGGGCAGTGCGTTGGTATAAAATTTGTATCATAACAAATAGTAGGTAATTACGCAACTGAAAAATGAGGGACGAACAGTAAGCGCATTCTAAGTGATTAACTGCAATTTGAAAATAATGACTCAAGAATTAGATGCTAGTTCGGAAACTGTCGTGAAGGTAGTGTTCTAAGAACAAAGGGGCAAGGAACTTCATGACAAGCAATGAAGCCGTCGGTGAATGTAGCGTTTAAAATGTATGGGTGAAGTTGTAGAGAGATTTTTAACCCTCCAACACTCATAGTCACCTATAGGTGACATCTGTTTGTTTTGCCTGCCAAAAATGAAATTCTTAACCAAATTTGATGAAACTAGTTGCAAATGAAAGCTATACTAATCATCTTTGATCTAAAGCGGTTCAGATTGAACCGAAATGGTCACCGAGAATCGGTTCCAAACAAAAATAGTCCATTTTCTCTCTTTAACTGTAACAGGCAGAGCTGCTAAACATCACGGACGTCATGTGACAATGAAAAAACAAGTCCTCTCACTATCACGAGACGAAACCACCTATCATGAGATTTCTTTTCATTTTTCAATGAGCAAGCACTCATGAGAATAATTATTATGCGGTTTTGACATGTACATTTCTAACTGATTTAGATTAATTTAAGCAAGCAACCGTATGTAATCGAGAAGAGTAAATATATTATTATTATGACAGGTAACTTTAAGAGCAATAAATGAGCTAGTAATTACGATGATCACAACACTGTCACGTTCTGTCATGATAAAAAATTCGATGAGATTTTGAAAAAAATCTCTATCATCGTTTTCTCATCCAATGATAGTGACAGAAGTTTCTCTGTAAATATCGTGTAAGATCTTCAATTGAAAATGACATTTGCCAGCCCTGGTAACAGGAAAGGCAAATAACTTAATGATTCTAGGTGACCCTCATTTGCTTTGTCGTCAGAAAATCTTGGTATTTTTTAGCCAAATGGGACATCGTACGATCCGGATAACCCTAATTTTTCTAAATGCAGGGCTGGTAGCGATCAATGCTGTCAAAAATAGTGATTTTAGTGACCATGCTGAAGAAATAAGTGACCTAATAGTGACTTATAGTTGTAAAAAAGTGACTAAAAAGTGACTTAAGCGTAGATTTTTTTTTTTCGAAAAACCGGGAATTCTCAGGGAATTCTATTTTTAATAATTTTCTCACTAAGAATGCAATTTAAATTAAACATTTAATATTCCTAGTTATTTGAACCACATTGAACTTAATAGATCTAGAATGGATTAATCTTCAGTAACAAATACATTTTGCATATGCATATTTCCCACAAATTTTATAAATTGTTAACTGAAAAGTTATAATGCTTCAAGAAATTTTCAAGAATCTGGTGTCAAATTCCTTGCACAGTTTTAAGGCTCATGAAATTTTATTATAATTTCTTAGGACCTTATTTTACGGGAGTTCTGGGAAAAAAATCTATAGAAAAACATCAACTGCAATCTGCTTTCATGGTAGTTCTGAGGAATTTTAGACTTCATGTGAAGCCTAAGATAGCAAACTCCAAGTGAATTTTCATGAAAAATCTCCGTTGAATATGGCATGAACTATTCTGAGCACTTCAGAACTGCTTGAAAGATCCCAAAATATTCCTGACGTTAATGAAACTGCCTTGAAGTTCTTTTGTAGTTTGAGAAACTAGCTTGATGCTCGCAATACTTCTCATATTTTTTTTTACTTCTCTAAACTTTTTCGGACTTCCTAAAGCTTATACAATTTTCCTAATAATCATGAATCTACTCTAAAATTTTAAAAAATTCACTTAATTTCTCGATTTTTTTTTTTTAATTTATGTAATTTCCGTGCTCTGGAATATCTGTGCTCTGAGGGTATATGTTCTTTCTTGACGTTTATTTTTTTGTTTAGAGCTTTATTAGCGAGATCAATATCTTTCTCGAAGCTCTCAAAACTTCTCTTAAGTGTTTGCAGTTCTCATGAAGCTTGTTGTACAACCACCGACAAACCGGCATAAAACATTAACTTAACTCTTGATCGAGCAGCGATCCCATCTGTCTATAGAACCATAGAAATTAATTATCTAGATAAAAATAATTTGCCCGGAATAGATTAGATGCAAACCCAACTCATTTTGTATGCGTGTTCGTGGCTAGGGTACACATTTTTTCGCAAACACGGTGGCAGATGTCAGTTTTGTGCTTTGATCGGAAATTTGATGGTACTTTGTATGATCATTTATGTCGGTTTGTCGGTGGTACAACCATGAATTTAATTGAACTGTTCTAAAAATGTTTATGCTTGCGTGAACTTCTGGACTTATGTGAAAACCTCAATAACTTTCTTAACATCTTTGAAGTTATCTGAAAATCAGGGAACTTCTTGAAATTTCCCGCTAATTTAGTGAAACAAATGGAACTGAACTCCCCTGAAGTTCACTTTGTTTTTGAGCTGCTCCCGAAATGTCCATAAAAGTTCCTGAAGCTCTCGGATCTTCCCTTAGGTTTTATAGACTTTTATGAAGTTCTCGAAAAGTTTCTGAAGATCTCTGTACTTCTATGAAGTTTTTGAAGATATTCTGAAATTCAGAAACTTCTCTAAGCTTCCGCAGAAAATAATCAAAATAGTTCTATGATTTTCACTGTAGTTCTCAAGATTTGTCTGAAGTTCAAATTATCGAAACGAATTCATAACTTCTTCAATAGTCTAGAGTTTTCTGATGTTTCTAAAACTGCCCAAAATATTTCTCAATTTCCTTAAAATTCTGTAGACTGCCTGAATATCTTAGTATTTTTTTTTATAGAATCCACCATTTTACTGGAATTGATTTAATTGCCTTAAAGTTAAACAATTTTCCTTAAATTTTATAAAGTTTATAAACGCTCACGGTACTTTGCTTGAAATCACTAATTTTCCCTGGAAAGCCTGGACATCCCAGAAGTTTTCTATGCTTACCTTAATTTTTCTAAAGTGATCAAATATTCCGATAAATTTTCTGATATATATTTATAATTCCCTGAAGCTTCTAAAGTTTTCGGATCAATCATAGAATTATCGGAATATCATATAATTCTAAGGAACTCCTTTTAAGTCGCTGCAAATTTCTTTAAGCTATGATTTATGATCGTCCTTGAAGTACTCGGAACTTCACTGAATATAATGAATCAATTTCAAAATAAATAATTTTCTTAGAAGTTCTCTGGAATTTCTTGAGAATATCGGTGCTTTTTTTATTAATGGAACCTCGTTGATGTTCTCTAATCAACTTTACTAAATTTTTGAATTGTTTTAGATCTTGAAATTTCGATTAAATAACACCCTTGAAATACTCTCACATATTCCAGATGTTCCTATAATTTTTATTGCGTTCGAGAAATTTTCTCTGAGCAATCCTAAGTTTCCGGACATTCCGGTTTCTGCAATTTCCTTGAAATTTTTAGAACTGTTCTTTAATTCTCTGATCTGTCTTGATGTTCTCGGCGCTTCCCTAAAACTCTCAACTCTAATTGAGATCTCGGTTCTGCTTTTATGATAAATGGAATTCTCGTAAACACCTTTAAACATCCCTGGAATTCTCGGAAATTTTTGTGAAGTTCCTGAAATATTTATGAAGTTTTCATAAATTTTCTGAAGGTATCTGTACTGAATCTTTCGGAACATCTGGAGGGTTCTCGTTTCTATTTCAACACATCATGGAGCAATCGTGAATTTGTCTAAACTCAAACTTAAAGATTTTTAAACCAATTCAATGGTCTGGGCTAAAGTTTCGGGGACTTCCCCTTAAGATCTCTGGAATTTCCCAAAGATCTCTAGATCTAGCTTTTCTGAGATCAATAGAACTTCATGAAAGTTTCCACATTTTTGTTAGTACGAACCGTCAAGACATTAAAAATGTTGTGATCTTAGATTTACTTAAATGAAGTAAGTGTTCAACTTCAACATTTAATGGATTTGATAGTAAAGCTGTTTGTGGGGCCTCATAGCCTAGTCAGTAAAGGCACGGTATTAACAAGCCGGAGGTGGCGGGTTCGATTCCCGGTCCGATCGAGGGAATCTTTCGGGTTGGAAATTTTCTCGACTTCCCTGGGCATAGAGTATCATTGTGCTTGCCACACAATATACAAATTCATGCATTGGTATTGACGTTGAAAGTTTTCAATTAATAACTGTGGAAGTGCATTTAGAACACTAAGTTGATAGCATGCAATAAGCAATAAGCTTGAAATGCGAATAAGAAGAAGAAGGTTAGTAATTCAGCTTATTGCTGTTTTAAATATTGCCATTTACAGAGCTGGTAGCGAGACACTCGGTTTTTTTTTTCGCAGTGAAAAGCTGTCCTCGAAACAGAAATTTGGAAGATCCGGATACTGGCGACTGTGGCCAGATCACATTTAGGCGAGATCTCTATCGTACTCGCCTTTGAAAAATAGCGTAAATTAATTTGTCGCATGCCCCTGTGGCAAGGGGAAGAGTGGTTCTCCTAGATATTGGCCACTGTGTCCAAATTACAGCTATAAAGCTTCATGAGAACTCTATCATACTCGTCTTTAAAAATTAGTAAAAAATTATGGGTGGCATGCCCATAATCTGGCGAAAAG